ACTGGTATTTTGAGAGCAACTGTACTGAATCTGTAGATTGTTTTAGGTAGTATGGTCATTTTAATGATATTAATTCTGCCAATCCCTGAGCACGGGATATGTTTCTATTAGTTTGTATCCTCTTTGATTTCTTTCATCAGGATTCTTTTTGTAGAAGTCTTTTACCTCCTTCGTTAAATTTATTCTTAGATGTTTTTAATTTTTATAGCTATTGTAAATGACATTGCCTTCTTAATATTTTTTAGCTATTTCATTATTGGTATATAGAAATGCTACTCATTTTTGTATGTTGATTTTATATTCTGCAACTTTACTGAATGTTTTTATTAGATCTAAGAGCTTTTTGGTGCAATCTTTAGGTTTTTCTAGAAATAAGATCATGTCATCTGAAAAGAGAGACAATTAGACTTCCTCTTTTCCAGTTTGGATGCCTTTTATTTTTTTCTCTTCCTTGATTGCTTTGGCTAGGACTTCTAGTACTATGTGGAATAGGAACACTGAAAGCGGGCAACTTTGTCTTGTTCCAGATCTGACAAGAAAGACTTTCGGATTTTTCCCAATCAGTATAATGTTAGCTGTGGGTTTGTCATATGTGGCCTTTATTTTGTTGAGGTATGTTCCTTCTATGTCTAATTCATTGAGAGTTTCTGTCATGAAAGAACATTAAATTTCATGAAATGCTTTTTCTGTATCTATTAAGAGGATCATATGTTTTTTTTCCTTCATTCTATTGATGTTATATATGTTTATTGATGTGCGTATGTTGAACCATTCTTGTACCCACTGGATCATAGTGTATTATCTTTTTGATGTGCTGTTGGATTTGGCTCACGAAGATTTTTTTGCATCTATGTTCATCAGGGATGTTGGTATGTAGTTTTCTTTTTTTGTTGTGTCCTCTTCCAGTTTTGGAATAAGGGTAATGCTAGCCTCACAGAATGAGTTGGGAAGAATTCCCTCCTCTTTAATTTTTTGGAAGAGTTTAAAGAGAATTGGTGTTAGCTCTTCTTTGTAAGTTAGGTGGAATTCAGCAGTGAAGCATCAAGTCCTGGACTTTTCTTTGTTGAAAGACTTTATTACTGATTCAATCTCATTACTTGTTATTAGTCTGTTCAGGTTCTCTATTTCTTCTTGATTCAATCTTGGTAGGTTATATGTGTCCAGGAATTTACCCATTTCCTTTAAGTTTTCTGGTTTGTTAGTATATAGTTTTTCATAATAGTCTCTGATGATTTTTTGTAGTTCTGTGGTATCAGTTGTAATGTCTCCTTTTTTGTTTCTGATTTTGCTTATTACAATTCAAGACCATTGCAGAGTTAGGCCATCTATTCTATTGTGTAGCAGGTGACATTAAATAACAGCTCTCCTTAAATAACTGACTTATCTTGTCAATACAGACCATTTTCCTCTTTCTGATTAAAGGTTTAGCCTATGGAGTAAGACGAATGTAATTTCAAATCTGACTTCTACCACCTACGGGCTGTGTGACTTTTAGAAAGATCCTCAACCTCTCTGTGCCTCAATTCTTTCATCTCTAAAATAGGAAGAATAACAGTACAAATCCAATAGAAGTCTTGTAAGTGTTACGTGTGATAAGCCATGTAAAGAAAGCACTCATCACAGTACCTGACACTCATTAAGTGTACAATAAAGATTATTCTTGTCACAGGTTTTGCTGTTGCTATTACTATATGTGAGCAAACACTTTACACAGATTTGTCTAACCTCCAGGGCATGGTGCCATGAGACCTCCAAGTGAGGGAAGCTCGGGGTCTAGGCCGAGATGGCCACGAAGGAGGTAGAAAGAAAGGAACAGGTATAAGATAAATTATGAAAATTTAATGATTTCCTTGGAAACCAAAAGAGATGAAAAGAGTTCAAGCTGACACAGGCTCCCAGACTCAGTGCTTGGGAAAACAATGTTATTATGAGCAAAAAACACCAAGTCAGGAAGCAAAGCCCATTCTAAGAAAGTTAGAAGAGCTGGCACTCATTTAGCCATTCAGAATAAACTGCTGAGCACATCTTCTCTCTAACCCTCTCTTTCTGTCAAGTCGCTCCAAGTCCATGGGTCAAGAATACTATGAAGAAGCAAAATTCCAGGGTCGGTATTCTTTTATCTGGGCCTTTATACTGAACCCATGGACACACCCTCAGTAGCACTCATCCCGGAGCTCTTAACTTCTGAAGCAAATTGATTGCAGCTCAGAAAGCTAGAAAGCCTTCCTACTCTAATTGCAAAGGTTATCATGCTTTTCTTGAATTTGCTCCGACAAGTCCTAAAATTTTCACCTTGCCACATAATATAGGTAGTAGCAGGTCTGGAGAATGCTGCTACAGCATCCTGAGCCGCAGACATGGAGGTCAGAGGCAGCAGATGCCGGGATTCGCCTACTTTCTTCCTTTCGGGTTGGCTAAGTCAAAGACAAAGAGTGGGCAAGGAGAGAGAGTGAAATGGTTGCAACCTTTGGCTGGAGTCAAGGAATTCTAGGGCGTTCGCTTCAGCACATTCAAGAACAGAGAGAGCTTCCCGTTGCGCCTCAGTCATTGCCAAGTGCATTTCTTGGAGTTCACAGAGTCAGCCACACCTTTTATGTCCTAGATATGCCCTAAATTCACGCTGCCTGAGCCAATGTTGTCAGTATACTCCATTTGCTTGCATTCTCCATCTCTGGCTGGTTTTATACCTCTCAGAACATACATTTCAAACGTTAAGCAACAATTCTGTTCAGTGACTCTGTGTGTGTGTGTGTGTGTGTGTGTCTGTCTCTGTCTGCTACTTCCCTATGTTTATCAAGAATTCCGCCATCTTTCCAATTTTTCCCCCTTACTCTATGAACATCACCTTCTACCCTGATTCTTCCCAAGTGTTTTCAGACTTCCCCCATCAAGTTCTTCATAGAGTTCACCCACAAATCAGTCTGGATTGGTCCAAATGACAAATCCTGAAGGAACTCTATATATCTCTGTGATGTTACATGTGGTAAATTCAGAGGAAAGAGAAATAAATCTGCTCACTCAACACTGGTAAAGAGCCCAGGTTTTAACTTCAAACTTTCAACTGGAACGTTTAACTAGCAACAAATGTCTCTTAATACTTATCATTTCAGCTGTTGTAACTGAACCGTAAAATTCAATTATTTATTTTTCAAATAAGAATGGATGGCTGTTTAATAAGTTCAGAATTATTTGGGCAATGACAGGGAAAATAAATGCTAAGGAAATGTGCAAATGTTTCAAAAATCTCATTGGCAGATTTCTACAGTCTTATTAAAACCTGGATGTCTGCCTTCAACTCTAGATATCAGATCTAGTCAAAGTTGTATAAAACACTTTGCAACCAGCTCTCCAAGTACCTAATCTGCAATTTTCAGTGTAAGAATTTTAACCAGACTACAAGTCAAAGAGCAAGAAAACCATTCACAACAAACTCTATATCCAAACTCTTAATAATCATTTACGCTTAAATTATGAAACCATTTAAAATATTTATTCATGTAATTCAAATCAGCCAAAAATTATCCCTAAATTAATCTGGATTTTGTCAACAATGTGATTTTTGGCCTAAAATTTCCAAATCCTTGCATCAACTTTCAAATGTACCTTGTATGCGAACATACTTTTACGGTCTAATTTTACTACCCCCGAAAAAAGCCCTATAATTAGGTGTCTGTCTGCTTCGTGATCAGAACTGTCTGTAAAAGAACATGGAAAAAAGGACTTACGTGCAAAATTTCCTAATCTGCAGTTGACAGTTTTTAAAGGAAAATAGTAGTAATTAGTAACAATATTTCAACAAACTCATCTGAAAGTAATAAATGAGGCTGTCATTTGTATTTTACTACATTTGCCTTTACTTCATCATCTCTATGCATGCATCTCACCTCTGGGCACAGGGTTAGAGAGATAAGCTTGGCTAAAAATGAATGACAGTATCCTCATGAAGAATGTACCCAGACCAAATAAATGGCAAGCTAAAAACTAGGGACAAGAAGGATGCAGCTTAACATATACCAAAGTCACATTACAAAATAAATAAAAACAAAAAGCTTGCAGGACAGAAATTAATCGAGAATTGCTCTTAGAATTATTCCAACAGTTTTCTGCCATGCATTAAACTTTGCTGTGTATAACTTTTAAAAATCTGCAGTGCTCACCTACTTTTATAATAATGAGCACAATTACTTTAAAAATGAGGTAACCTTAAAAAATTCTGCATTTGAGAACTTTACAACTAAAATGCATTTCTAACAGCGTATGATTTATAGTGATTATACTGGATTAGTTTTTGTGGACAGGGAGTTTCTCTTTGGTGAAACTATATTTTCGGAACCAATATTGGAACGTGTGGTTTGATGGAGGATTTTTACCCTTATCATGTACACGAGAACATCTCAGAGACATCTGTAAGGCAAAACTGTTTAAATTCAGGGGCATTTTGGTGGGTGTGAAGGACAAGAGAATACAATATTCAAAATTAGAACTGAATTAGAAAATAAGAAACACAGGGCCTTGGTAACCAGTTTCCAGACTTTTCCAACTGAGTGAAACTTCATTAAATCAGATTCCAGTGACTCACAATTTGGAATAATTCAAGGCAGAAGCTGGGACAAAGTTTAATTCAGCCTAAAGAATGCTTAAAATAATGTACGTATAAGGGGAAAAACCTGTTTTCATCTCTCAGGTCCCACAAAAGGTTGATATGCTGATTTTGATTAACTCTTTTCTTTTCATCAAAGTATATTTCCTAAGTGTGTTTATTCTCTACTCTAAGTTTTAGCTATTACAGTTTTCTGAACACAATAAAAATGCATTTTGGAGAAGGTTCTGTGATATAGACTTATTTTACTATGTCAAGCAGGCCCCATCCTTCTTGTCATTGTAATTAATGAGGTTTTACTGCATAGTTACATTCTGTTGACCACTGAATATTTCCCTTCTCTGGATAAACCCCAAAGACAACTAATCGAAAATAGGAATAAAAAGTGATCATTACTTACGAATGCAACTTGAAAAGGTAGGATCCGGCCCAAATCCCATTTTGCAGGTACATCTATAGCTGCCCATGGTATTCAAACACTCACCATTAGGGCACACACCTTGTAGTTGGCATTCATTAATATCTGCAGGAAAACAAAACTCTTCAGAAGTAGTAATCAAGCCCTTGTGGAGCAGATTCTGGCTACAAACTGCATTCACTTTCTTTTTCACTATAATAATCTCTTAGTTATAGTGAAAAAAGGAATGCAGCAGCTGTGAATGGCCTTGAATCAAAATAAATTAACATTTACTGAATATTTGCAACTTATATACCAAATATTTATCACACACCTATTACATGCCAGGTTCTGTTTTCGGTGCTAAGGATTTACCAGTGAACAAAGCTGACAAAAAATTCCAGCCTTCACAGAGCTTACATTTTAGTGTTAGGGTATGTTAGGCATGACAGGGCAAGCATATAGGTAAGGCAAAGACTCTCATTTTGGAGACGATGACAATCTAGCTGTACACACAGATATGTGAAAAACTGAAGAAGTGAAAAGCAATTCAAGTTATCACCATTAGAAGAACTGTGATAAACTGGAAGAAGCTAAATTATGAAATTGTCTCCATAAACAGTAAGAGCCGCTAAAGGAAGTAAGAGGCAGGAAAGCCCACAGCACTGAGGAGGAGGCAGGACTTCATCAGGGTATTGGAGGCTGGGGAGGAGCTGGATGGACAGGCAAGGAAGGGAAGGAATGGTGTGCGAGGGGGACGCTGGAGCATGAGCAGCTCCCTAACCTAACCCTAACCCTAACCCTAATCCTAACCATAACCTCTGCATGAGCAGAGGCCGGCCAGGGGAGGGGGGCTCAGGAAATGGTGAGTCAAACCATTGACTGGAAAAGAAGTTTCAGGAAGGTAAATAGTTGGAAACAGAGCTGGCAAAAGCCAAGCTAGATTTGAATTCAATTTTACTGAGAACAGGCAGCTATATTAAAAGTTTCTGAGCAGGAGGAAGATGTCATCAAAGGCTGGCTCCAGGAAAATTCACCTGGCCAGCATATAGCTTGGTGAGAAGAGGTTAAAAGTCTGATCACTTAAAGGAGTCATGTGAGCATGATGGTGGTGACAGCCGGGTTGGTGACAGTGAGAATAATCAGGAAGATAGGAAATAATTATAATTTTTTTTTAAGAAGAATTGAGAATGCATGGTGTTTGGGCAACACAACACTAGAAAGTGAGAGAAAAGAGTAGAGATGTCTGGGAGGCTTCAAATCTGAGAGAAGAAGAAAAACCACAGTCGGTTTGTAGGAGTTCTAAGGAGGAAAGAGGGCGGGAAGACGAAGAGTTCAGTGTTACAGCTCAAGGTCACACTGG